CTTCAAATAATTGTAGTCTAAACTTGAAGCGCCTGCTATTATCATGGAATTTTGGAGGTGAAGATCACTGGGTTCGGTGCTAATAATTAGCTGACTAAAAACATGACTTAAGACTCTTCATCATAGTTAACCTTCTCAACCCATCAGTGGCATGGGGTCTACTTTGATGGAGTGTATTCGTGACTGCCGTTTTAGCGTCAGTCGTGGACAGTAGGAACAGCCCCAAAATTGGTGGGTAAAAATCACTCGTAAAGACGGTTGTTGCCATGCGTCATCAAAGGGCTAATGTCAGATTTTCACCAAAAGTGGGTGGACCTAAAACCATCCACTCCCACTCACTTTCTCCCCCACCCTTCATATAACTTACGCTCAGGGCCTGTGCGTGCTCTGTCAGGCCATGCCCGTGTGGGTTCGCCTTTGTAGACATCTGCACCCAGCCACCATCGCGAAGTCGACAGCATGTCCCCGCGTGGCGCACATTTCATTCATCGTCCACGCACCAACATGTGCTCAGTCTGCGGCGTTGATCCAGCACCAGGACCGCCCTAAGCCCGGAGACCTCAGCTCGCTCACGGCACGTATCCCGTCCGGCTGCCGGGCGGCCCTCCGCCCAGGCGGAGCCGGCGCCCCGCTGCTCAACCGCCGGATGCGGCCGTCATCCGGTCCCACGGTACCTGCGCTGCCGGCGACGCCACACACACACACACACAGACACAAACGCCATGGCCCCGGGCGCTTGCAATTACGTCTGGCCGCAGTTACACCGAATCGAGTCCGGCGGCAAGCCGGTAAAAGATCGGGCCCCGTCCACGCCACCATTACGAGCCGGTGGGTGTACGCGACGGTTTCCGCATTCACGAAATCTAACGGGCTGGCCGCCCAATTAGGTGGCGGCGTCCACCAACAATGGCAGCCGATGCGTCGCCGAGCCGCGCAAAGTAGGCTGAGCTCATTTCGCTGGTGCGCGGAGTGGCTGGTGGGCCGGCGCTGACGCATCAGGGGCGCAGCGGACAACAAAGCGTGCCGGCGTCGGTATCTGGAGCGATGCCCGCGACCCCCACCGGCACCCCGCGTCCGATCGGACAGCGCTGTAACGCTTGGAAAGTTTGCCCCGCTTACCGCGGTCAAAAAGGTTCACGCGGTGAACGATGGGGGGCTATTCGTGACGCGGGAACACTGTTTATGTGGCCTGCTTAAGAAGCCGAACTCCTGCAGCATGTGAGGATAGCATTGATTCATCACAGGTCACATGGATAACGCCTAGAGCCTATACATGATAAGGGTGTTGGCGAGTTTGAATTTGGTATGTGCTACTCTATGTTCTTTACTCGGATTAATGAAACTGGCCTCTATGCCCAGTACGTGATTGATGGGGAGCTTGTTCGTATGACGTCAGATGACCGGGCCCACTCTCCACGTGACGTCAAATGACTGAAAACTATGTCCATGTGACGTTTTATGTGTGAGCCATCTGCCCATGTGGCTGGGCGACTGGGACACCTGCCCAAGTGACGTCAAACGACAGACGCATCTGGTTATGTGACGTCATATGACTGGGACCTTTGCCCGCGTGAATTCAGGCGGCTGGGACATCTGCCCACGTCACAGGGCAGCTGACTGAATGACTGACTGATGAGCGCCTGACTGACGGCCGGTGGATGACGGATGCCCCCCCCCCCTCGGTGACGTCAGGCGGCGCGGCTGGAATGCAGGCGTCCGAGCGCCGCTCCATTCACACGTCGACGTCGGGTCAAAAGCCTGGCAACGGGGCTCAGTATGCCGCGCTGTGATTACGGCAGGCAGGGCCGTTATGGATGGCGCGGCGGCGGCGGCGGCGCGGCGCGGCGGTGCACCTCTGCCCCACCTGGGCACCGGCGGGAAGAGATCGGCCGCTCGTGATACCACCGAGATGGGGCCGATAAGCGGGAAGCGATGAAAACAGGAGAGAAATGGTCGGTGTCACGGAACATTCTACTTTCGGCCGCCGCTCCGGAGAACGCCTGCCCATCGGCATCAAATCCCATGCTGTAACCAGCTGGCGCTTTTTGTGCCGCTTCTTCAGCTGAGCCGCATCAAATAAGCGGGCACAGATGGCGGGCAGAGAGCCGAGCGAGCATCAGGATCAAACCGCGCTGGTGCTGGAGATCATTGTTTCATTGTGTGCCCGATGATAGCAAGACACAGCGCCGAGGAAATACCATCCGTCTCGGCTAGATCATACGGCATGGCGGTCACGCGGATAAGGCTTACATTGCGTCGTTCGCACTGAGGAAGAGCGCTGAGCTCCGCCTAAGCTTGCAAGGCTGGGCTTTTTGTGCCCGGATATGCGGCCAGCGGTGCCCAGGGTGCGAGGCCGAAACAAACGGGGCCGCGAGCTGCGCTGGAAATGTGAAAGCGGAAGGCAAGGTGGAAGTAAAAGGCCCATGTCATATACGTGACGAAGTCATTTCTATCACCGACTAGTTCCGCAGTATCCCTCACCTGTATTTTGTAACTTCCATGATTTTTACCGGAATTGCGGTGTTAACCACATATTCATCAAGAGACACCTGGAAGGACAAAAGTGTACGAACACTTGCACCTTCTACTGGGCAGCTGCTCGAGCACCTTAGCGAGTAATGGCCTGAGCCGATACGGCTGACATTGTAACGAGCTCAAATTACTTGCGGTTACAATTATGCCCAGCATGATCACTTACATAGACAATGCGCGTTCACTCTCGTACTGCTACCGAACAGTGAGCACGGCTGGTGAGAACTTGCAACGCGACTGGCGAGGTGTGCTGTTGCAGCCGGTGTCCTCGCCCGGCGGCAGACCGGGGAGGTGCGTCAGGTCAGCCCACCACACGGCGCCGTGACGCCGTGCTGTACTCAGCAGCAGCCGTTGGGACCCCCTCCTAGCCGTTAGGCCCTGGCTGCCGCTCGAGTGAAGAACAAGTAGCAGGTTCTGCTTTCCAGAGGAAGTCGTAAATTACACAGCGGCCGGGCCCACAAACCACCCGACACCTAAACCGTACAATCAGTAATTACCCTGGCTCGTCGCCGTAAAGACTCTTGCTCCGTTTGAGAAATGGTAATGACTCGACGGGGCGGCGCCGCGATGTCAGACGGTGACAGCGTATTATGCTCGTTGACATTGTGAACGAGACTGTAAGGTGGTGCCAGAGGCGAGAAGGCGGCCGAGCGACTAAACTGGTGGGCTAATAGGACCATGTCTGCCAACACCCGGTCTTCGTTCGGGGGTGTCCCATCGCGGCTTTTCAAACGCCACCTAAGGGAACCGATAGCCCCTGTGATCAGTGCTGTCACCTCAAGCCACTGCGACGGTCTCATCAGTCTTTAGAAACCTCAGATCGCAGGGTCTCGGCTGGAGCCGATCCCCTACCTCTGGAGTCCCCGTGTCTCCCCATCCCCCACTCCGACTGGGGGCGGCAGTCCCCTGTCTCTGGAGCTGGTGAGTCACACCGTCACCCAGTCTGGCGCGCGACGCAGGGCGCCCGCCAAGCCTCACCGCTGCCGGCCACGGTATCCGCCCCCGAACAACGACAGCAGGTCAGGCGACGATCTGTCGAGGTCCGCCGCGGACACAAGTGGGCTGCGTTCCGGTTCGCGCGCTCTGGCCGCTCGGCCGCGCAGCTGTCCAGCGGCTGCAGCAGCTCCGGCACGCGCGCTCTGGCCGCTCGGCTGCGCAGCTGCCCAGCGGCTGCAGCCGCTCCGGCACGCGCGCTCTGGCCGCTCGGCTGCACAGCTGTCCAGCGGCCGCAGCAGCTCCGGCACGCGCGCTCTGGCCGCTCGGCTGCGCAGCTGCCCAGCGGCTGCAGCCGCTCCGGCACGCGCGCTCTGGCCGCTCGGCTGCACAGCTGTCCAGCGGCCGCAGCAGCTCCGGCACGCGCGCTCTGGCCGCTCGGCTGCGCAGCTGTCCAGCGGCTGCAGCAGCTCCGGCATGCGCGCTCTGGCCGCTCGGCTGCACAGCTGTCCAGTGGCCGCAGCAGCTCCGGCACGCGCGCTCTGGTCGCTCGGCTGCGCAGCTGCCCAGTGGCTGCAGCAGCTCCGGCACGCATCGTCGCTGGCTGAGTCACTCCCTGGACAGAGTGGCAGCCCCAGCAAACGCGGCGGCCCGTTTGGTCACGGCCGTGTGGTATGGCTCCAGCAGCTTGGGGCCATTGTTACTCAGAACGCAGTTTCACAAATGCGCTAGCCCCTGAGTCCTGTGCCAGCCCTGGGCGGAACAGTTTCGTCGCAAATGCGCCATTGTTCGGCACCTGCAGCAGCTTGGGTCCGGTTGCGCAGCTGTCCGGGAGTTACCGCAGGCAGGCTGCAGTCGCGGCGTAACGCCCAGCCGACGAGAGCTAGCACCCGCCCGCGCGACGTTCATTGAGCGATGCTGATCTCTCGTAAGATCCGGCCCACTCGTCCACCGGCCCATTCAGCTTCCGGGAGAAGCACCGGCTCGCCGAGGATACCGAGGATGGGAAGCCCCTCGAAGCACTCCAGAGCCACTTGTCTGTCAGCACCACGTCCGATTATCTCCGGCGGTAAAGTGCAGTGTCATGTAGAGCTAGCCGGGGACGTTGTCCGTTATGAGGGTACCCTATGGCCCTGTCGGGGCGGCAGTTTTCTGCCCTGCTCACGTCCTCTTTACGGGCAAAAACCAGCGCCTCCCGATCTCCAGGTCCGGTGCTCCCCCCCCCCCCCCCTTCCGACAGACTTTGTCGTCGTTACTGGTGCGGCCAGCCGGTCGGGGAAACCGTGACGGCCCGTGCGCACCTGTTCCGCCGCATCGCAAAGCTGACGCCTGCGGAGCAGCCGGGCACCGATCGGCGCCGGCCGGCGCGGCTGCGGCGGCGGCGGCCGCGACCCCAGGAGTCGTTGACCCGGCCGGTCGGCGCCGGCTGACCTCTGACCCCGCCAGCGCCGGCGGTCGCGCGCCCGCGCCGCCCTGGCCTGCCTCCAGCCCGCCGAGCCACGCGCTGACGCCGACGCGCGATTGTGTGCCGACAGATCGCCGATAGCCGGCCTGGTTCGCGAGCCGCCGCCATGGGAAACCACCACTCGCAGACGGTGGAGCTCAACCCCACGTGGTCGCACTCGTTCCCAAGAGAGAGGGAGAAGAAACTGCTCAAGTACGGCGCCATCCAGGACTCGGCACCCGCCCGAAAAGTGAGTACAAACGACGGGGTGAAAACGGGGCGGAACGGCCGGACGCGGACGGCCGGCAGGCCATGCAGACCAGCCGGCCAGAACTGCCAGCTCTCCCCCGCCCGCGGCGCCCTGGGAACCAGCCCCGCCGAAATGGCCACACACATCAGCCACCCAGCCTGTTTTCTCGGACCTGGCGCGCCCACTGCTAATCGAAGCTGGTGGCGGGAAATTTCTTTTTGTCCAATTGGGGGTCTGGCACAAAAGGTAGGCGGCCAGTGGCGACGAAATTGGTCAAGGTGCCTGTTATAAGCGGGTAAAGCAGGTCGGAGAAAGGCAGAGTGAGGGAAGGACAGCCATGCTGCCACCGGTTGGTGAGACCAACCATATGACATGCGTCACCCGCACTACGTTTTAAAGCCGTCTGGGATACTGCCTGAGTCATGCTGTCCACCAACTAACATTAGGCATGCGTTGACTCAATATTTATTCATGAGAATTGTCACCTAACTATCCTACGCGTTAGGCCATTATACTAAATGATCATGTGGGTGCCTGCCAAGCGCGAGGTACGTCACCACCAGTGCGGGCCGGACGATCCGCACGCTCCTCTCTGTCCGAATCGGTGTTGCGGCTGGTCTGTTGTCAGCTGTTGTCAGCTGTTGTCAGGTAGTCTGGCGTTCGTGACGTCAGCTGTCATGTCTGGGCCCGTCAGCTGGGTTCGGTCATCGTCAGCTGAGCAGTTCGGTCGTCAGCTGAGCTCGGACTGTCGGGCGGTCTTCAGTCCTGCCTGTGTTAGCTGCCGGTGAGCTGACGCGGTCGGCCGCGTTACCATCTACAGCACCAGCACAGAGGGTGTACTACGCCGACAGTTCCTGTAGAGACTATCTGCAGGTGCTACCAGAGGGGGTCCCTGGCCAGAGATGCTCTGTGCCCGCTCCGTGTGTGTTGCTGTGCGACTTGGCTCGGCCGACCACGCGGCAGGTACTGCCGGAGAGGATCCCTAGTCAGCGATGCTGTGCCCCTGCTGTGTGTGTTGCTACGTGACCTGGCCCGGCCGACCACGCGGCAGGTGCTGCCGGAGAGGGTCCCCGGTCAGCGATGCTGTGCCCCTGCCGTGTGTGTTGCTCTGTGGCCTGACTCGGCCGACCACGCGGCAGGTGCTGCCGGAGAGGGTCCCCGGTCAGCGATGCTGTGCCCCTGCTGTGTGTGTTGCTACGTGACCTGACTCGGCCGACCACGCGGCAGGTGCTGCCGGAGAGGTCCCCTGTCAGCGATGCTGTGCCCCTGCCGTGTGTGTGTTGCTGTGGCCTGACTCGGCCGACCACGCGGCAGGTGCTGCCGGAGAGGGTCCCCGGTCAGCGATGCTGTGCCCCTGCCGTGTGTGTTGCTCTGTGGCCTGACTCGGCCGACCACGCGGCAGGTACTGCCGGAGAGGGTCCCCGGTCAGCGATGCTGTGCCCCTGCTGTGTGTGTTGCTCGTGTGGACCGGCCGACCACGCGGCAGGTACTGCCGGAGAGGGTCCCCGGTCAGCGATGCTGTGCCCCTGCTGTGTGTGTTGCTACGTGACCTGACTCGGCCGACCACGCGGCAGGTGCTGCCGGAGAGGGTCCCCGGTCAGCGATGCTGTGCCCCTGCTGTGTGTGTTGCTACGTGACCTGACTCGGCCGACCACGCGGCAGGTGCTGCCGGAGAGGGTCCCCGGCCAGAAGCTGCGCCTCACCTCCAATGGCAACATTCTGCAGCAAGGTGGCACCATCAGCGGCCGCCGACTGGCCGCGGCCCACAGCTTCAGCCCGCTGCCTGACTGTCAGCAGCCCCGGTAAGGCCCGACCCGGCCGCCGGCCGCCGGCCGCCGGCCCTCTCCGTGTACCCCCTGGAATAGCTGCGGGGAAGATTAATGACGCCCTCTAATTATTACACGATGGACATCGGCTGGGATATAGTTGCGCCACGCAAAACACGAATCGGCTCACGGGTGGCTTCCTTGGCCAAATATGAGGTGATCGTTTACCTCCTTCCTCCAATTACACGCATACGTCAGCCATGATGTCTGCAATCATGACCCCTGCCAGTCCAAACACACTCTGTCATGTCAGATCCATCCCACCACCGTCACTGCCAGATCCGCCCCTATGCCTCCCCCGTGACATCTATTCCTCCGCATCCATCGCCCATCAAGTCTCTCTTGCCCCTCCCCCCCCCCCCTTAGGAGCCCCTGCCGACACCAGCACCCCGCACACCGAGTACAGCAGCGCTGCCTGGCCACGTCTCAGCACGTCCCGTGCTCCGCCTCGGCGGCGGCGGCCACATAAACCGACACGCTGTGCGGCCGGCGCTGCCTAAAGCGCGGCCGGCGAGGAATGCCGCTTTCCCCAGCCGCCGCGGCGCCTCCGGCCCGTACAAACATCTCAGCCGGCTCGCCACGCACGTCGGCGCCGCGCCGCCCGAGATGCACGGTGAAAATACGACCGCGCGCTGCATACCGCGTCGCGCGGCCCAGTAGGTCGCGGGGAAAGTGCGCCACGGCGCGCGCTGATTATTTACGCCGCGGTGCGATTAATCGGTGTGCCGGACGGCGGCACGATGCAGCTGGTCGCCGGAGCAAGGAGATCGCTCTCCAAGCTGGGGGGGGGGGGGGGGGGGGCTGAGCTAGGCCGAGCCTGCAGCTGGGGAGACTCACAACGAGCCAGACCCAGAGCCGTCCTGGAGGCTGTGGCGTGAGGTGGTGCGAGGCTTACGGTCTCTGCCTCCACAACCGCGGTCAGATCCACCCAGCCGGGTCCGAAACCGCGGTAAAATCCACCCGGCCGGCTCCACAGTCGCGGTCAGATGCGTCCAGAAGGCTCCAAAGCAGGTGTCAGGTTCGGCTGCAGGCTATGTCTGCAGGAGCTGACGACAGTGTCCGTCGCCTCCGTGGTCGGCCACCTCGGCGCTGACTCACGCTCCACACACCGTGAGACATCCAGCGTCCGACGCGGCAGCCCGACCGCGCGGCTTTGACGCCCATTTATGACGGTCGGCAGGTCTTCGTCCTTTAGGCCAGAAGCTAGGTTTATTATCTGAAATGACAGCTGACACGTCTTCATCCTTCAGCTTAAAAGCTGGCCACGTTATGTGAAGTGTAACTTAAAGTAAAACGTGCGCACGCAGTAATAATTACGGGCCAAGCCTGCCCACGAAACATGCTCATGAAAGGACAACCGTCATGAAGCGTCCCGTCGCCGCCCAATACGTCCTCCTGACGGTCGAACCGCGACCGTCAGCTGTACCCCTCACAGCCGCTGACAGGGCCTGACTGGCCTGCTGGTCCCTGTGAGAGGTGCGACCAGGCGTCGTGACAGGCTGACGGCGCGTGACGGCCCGTCAAAGCCGCCATAACAGGCGGCGCGCCGGGCGGCCGGGCTCGTGACGGGGCCGTGACACGGCCGGCGGCGCCGTGACACGGCCGGCCGCCGCCGGCGGCGGCCGTGTCACCTCTGTGGGAGCGCGTGCGACCGCCGTTTGCCGCCGCCGACACACGTGAGACGCTCGTTGCGGCGGCTCCTGCGGCGCGCGGCGCTCCGTTGGGCGACGAAAAACGGCGCAGCAGCCCGCAGCACGGCGTGTCACGGTCAGGCAGCGAAGGCGCCACGGTCAGGCAGCGAAGGCTATGTGGTCTCAGCTGGGTGGCTGTGAAAGATGCCGGAGCCTCGGATATCTAACTGTGAACTATATTAGAGACAAGTCTGGCTTTTTGACCAAGGACATCATATTTTTCACGAGGCGTTTTACGGAACACAACGGTGGTAGACGATTTCAGACAAAAGGTGAGCGAGACAAAAAACTGTAGACGTTTTTTTAGAGAATGTGGACAGTCGACGGTTTCGAACAGTTAGCGGACCGTCTGTGTCCGGTCCGTAGACATAAGATATTAGCACCCATTCTAACTATGTGACGGTGCGTTGCCTAAAACCAAGAGGCACGTGACTGTCCCTAAATGGAGCTGGGCTGACAAAAATGCTGCTCTTCATTTGATCTGACTCGATGCTTATGACTGGCAGTTGCCACTCTCCGCTGTCGGGGGCGCAAGTCAGGTCTGTGTCTCGCCGTCAAAAACTGATATGATGCGGGCGGCGCCGTAGCTTCGAGACAGAGAACGGCTCTGGAGCTTAAGCTCCGTAACATCCGCGGGATATCCCGGAGTTAGTGGGCTAGAATTATTCAGGGCGACATCAGGGGTCAAGGGTCTGCGTCTCGTCTCGCACGAACTTCGCGAGATCACGAGAGTGACTCCTGATCCTCCCACGACTGACTTCCCAGCCACACGCCCACCAGTGAATGTGAGCCCGTGGGCCAGGCAGCGGCACCAGCTCCCGACCATGGCCCCATCTGCGGGGCTTTAAGCGGGCAGCCACAGCGGCGCCGCTGGCAGGCCGCGCTCCCAGCGGCGGGTTCGTGGACTGCCGACCGCAGAGCCTCGCAGGCGCGCTCCCATCGGCAGGCTGGCGCTCCGCTGGCGACTCGGGCTCGGGGCAGCGCCACAATCCAGGCCAGCGAAGTCGGCCGCCGCTCAGGCCGGCCGACGGCTCCGGACGAGTCGGCCGGCCGGCGTCGGCCGCCGTCGACAGCTCGTTCCCACGGCACGCGCGCGCCGGCCTCTCTCCGGCGACACGTGCGGCGCAGACGGCTCGGCCGCCGCCGCAGATGACACCGCACGTGACCGGCGGACGTGCGTCCAGCGTCGCCCTCCTTGCGCGAGCGAACGACGTGAGACGTGATGGGCCGCCACGCGAAATTCTCCTCCCAGAGAAACTTCACTATGAACGTCCGTAAAAGAAACCTTGCATGGAAAACTCCACAGAATGGGAGTTTGACTCTGAGTTGAGTTTGAAACTCCACAGAACGAGAGAAAACTCCACAGAATGAAAAGCCGTAGTCGTGTTGCCAATTCAGATGGCAATGAGGAATTCCAGGGAAGCGACAATATATTGGGGGCGTTTGGTAGAGCTATTTGCACCATTTCAACATTTCATAACGTCAAATGTCATTATTCAGTCGTATTGATACTTAAGCATGGTGAGCACTGCAGCCAACCCTACCGCACATGTCATCACAGCGGAACTTTACCAGCAGGCGGCTCTCCACAGGTCCCTGCAGCCGGGCATGGGGGACGGCAGCGAGGAGCCGTCGGTCGCGCCCGACCCCCACCTCCAGAAGGGTTACGACAGCGAGCCGGACCTGCGCGAGTCGGCCGCCGAGTCGGACAGCCACCAGCCAGACCACCAGGCGCGCACGCTGGCGCGCGACACTGGCGCCAAGACGCGCGCGCGCTCGCGCAAGAAGAGCCGCGCACCGCCGCCGCCGCCGCTGGAGTCGCAGCTGCCGCCGCCGCCGGACATGCCGCCGCCGCCCGTTCCCACCGCCAGCCAGCCGGAGCAGGGCGAGCGGCCACGGAAGCGGCTTTTCAAGCGGCACGCCGAGGGTCGCGAGGGTCGCCGGCGCCCGGGCGTGCGCTCGCCCAACTTTAATCGCGCGCTCTCCGAGGAGCGCTGGGTGCCGGCGCAGGCGGAGGCCGAGCAGCGGCAGGCGCGCGCGCGCAGCATCGACTGCATCCGGGCCCAGGCGCTGGCCAGCGAGCAGGACGAGCAGACGGTCAGCTGCTCGAGCCTACCGCGACCGCGCGGCACGCAGCGCAGCTCTGCGGAGCTGGAGCGGCAGCCGGTGGCCGGCCAGGCCGGTCTGCGGGGCACCGGCGGCCGTAGCAGCAGCGAGGGGGCGCTGCAGTCGGCCGCCGGCCGCGCGCACGGCGTCACCCTCCAGCAGGCGGTCAGCACCGAGGACCACAGGATCACCATCACCATCAGCTCCGGCTCCAGCGAGGGCGGCAGCAACCAGAAGGACGGCAAGCGCAACATGTTCTACTTCGGCATGGAGCCATCCGGTGAGAAGCGCAGCGACGGCGACGGCAAGACCTCGGCACTCGCCAAGGTCAAGCGCAACGAGCATGTGTCGATCAACGGCTCCAGCGTGAGCTACCGCAAGCGCACGGCGAGCACCGGCCGCGCCAAGAGTCACAGCTCCGGCGACAGCTCCGAGTCGGCGGTGCGGCCGGAGCCGCGGCCGGCCGCCGGCGTAGCGCGCATCCCGTCGCGCAAGCTGGCGGACTTTGTCAGCAGCCTGGAGCGTAGCCGCAAGAAGCTGCTCTCGGCCAGCCGCGACGAGATCCTCACCAACTCGTCGGCGCTCAGCTGCAAGTCGCAGCAGTCGAGCGTGTTCGACCTGGAGCTTGACGTGGGCACGGACGAGTCCATCTCGATGCATCTGCGGCCGACGCTGCCGCGCAAGCAGCTGGAGATCCCCCGCTTCTCGCCACTGTCCGCCTGGCGCAGCCTGACGCTGGAGCAGGCGGCCGCGCGGCCGTGGCGCGGCGCCGGCGATGCGGCCAGTGACGCCAGCGACGCGCCGGCACCGCAGACGGAGCCCGAGCCGGCGGTGCTTCGCCGGCGCCGACCCATCACCAAGTCGGCCGACTCGGGTATCTCTGGCGACGCCAGTAGCCCGCCGCCGCCGGCCGTCGACGCCGGCGAGCCGCCGCTGGCCGCGTCGTCACCGGCGCCGGCGCGTGCCTCCGGCTGGGTGCCCGCTCAGGACCTGGACATCAGCAGCGGCGGCGAGGAGGGCGTCGGGGCGCTGAAGCCGGGCCAGGCCGTGCCGTTCACGCCGCCGCAGCTCATGTCGCGTGGCGACATGTTCCAGGCGGCGGAGCGCGAGGACGGCGCGCGCCCGGCCAAGAGCCGGCGCGGAGAGCGCGGCCTCTCGCCGCACACCTACAACAGCCTGCGCCAGATGAAGCGCTCCGTGTCCACGGCCATCAACGCGCTGCGCCGCTCGCCCGCCCACTCCATCGACGAGAACTGGCTGTTGAGTCGCAGCGTCCCGAGCTCGCTCAACGGCGGCGACGACGAGCCGGCGCCGCGGCCCAGCGAGGTGCGCTCGGACGGCGGCGGCGCCGGCCGACACGTGCTCTACCTGCCGCAGTACCACTCGCTGAAGGCGGAGCGCAGCCGCCCACGCTCGCCCACCGGCTCCAAGACGAGCCTGGCTGGCCTGAGCGGGCGCGGTGGAGAGCGGAACGAGCGGCGAAACGAGCGGCGTGACGAGCGGGACGAGCGGCGCGACGAGCGGCGAGACGGACGGGATGAGCGACGCGACGATTGGCGAGATGATCGGAACGAACGGCGAGACGAGCGGGACGAGCGGCGAGACGAGCGACGCGACGAGCGGGATGAGCGGCGCGACGAGCGGCGCGCCACGCCCGAGAAGCCGCCACGCAACTCGCTCGCCAACGGCAAGAAGAAGTTCTCGTACCAGAGCACGGTGCGGATGATCGAGAAGAAGAAGCTGGAGGCGCGCCTCAGCCGGCAGGCCGAGGAGGAGGAGCAGCAGCGGCTCCGGGAGCTGCATCTCCTCCAGCAGGTGGAGCAGCAGTTCCAGCGGAAGCGCGCCAGGGAGCACGCCGAGCTGCAGCGCAGTCAGCTGCTGGCGCAGGAGGACGAGCAGCGCTGGCCGCGCGCCCGGCCGCTGCTGGACGGCGCGCCGCCGATGTCGCTGCAGGTGACGGCGACGTCGGCGGCCGAGTCGCCGCCGGAGCCGGCCCGGGGCCCAGCCAGCCTGCAGATCGCCGTCGGCTGCGGGCCGGCTGGCGGCGCGCCGCGGCCCCCGTGCCCGCCGCCGGACTACGCCAGCGCGGCGCCGGACTACGCCAGCCTGCCGCCGCTGTCGGCGATCAGCGCGTCCGACGGGCCCGCCTCGCTGCCTGTCCTGCCGCAGCACCGGCACGCCAAGAACAAGGACAAGCAGACCTTCCTGTCCGGCGTGCGCAACTGGATCCGCGCGCGCAAGGAGGTAGCGCGCGGCCACGAGGACATGGTTCACGTGGCGCGTCAGGAGCCGGAGGGTGCGCCGGCCGCCGCGCGGGAGCCGCACGACGGCTTCCGACAGGAGATCCTCTCGGCCGCCCGCCGGCGCAGCGGCCGGCCACCCGATAAGCGCAAGTCCATCTACAAACAGGTGAGGAGAGCAGGAGTGAGAGGTTGGCACAGACAGAGAAACACGGAAAGAAAAATGACAGACTCGGACGCCTCAAGAGTTTTGTGCATGACGTGGTATTAAACCGGATCCCGAAACATGTCATAGTGCCGTCAAAAGTAAGTATTTCCTTTGTTAGCAGCACAACCCCAATTTTAATCGGCTAATGCAGTGCTCTCCACACAGGCCTCCTCTGCTTGCACTAGACGAGGACATTCGTCGCAGACAAGTGCCAGGTGTGTCCGTCCGTCCACAGGTGGCCGAGTTCACGGAGGACGTGAGTGACCTGAGCGGGGTGAACAGCCCGGAGTCGGAGCGGGGTCCTCCGTCCCTGTCCGGCTCGGCACCGCGTCAGCCCAGCAGCGGCTATGAGTCGTCGCCTCCGCTGGACTCGGCAAAGCGGCTCACACAGGAGCTGTCCGAGTACCGGCAGGAGCGGCGCGACTACCGCGACTACGGCGACTACCGGCCGCCGGCCGCCCGGCCGCACGACCCGCTTCCCGGCAGGTGAGGACGGCGGCCGGCCGCAGCCAGCAGGTTACGCCCGCGCAGGTCAGGACGGGTCTCGCGCCACACAGGGGTTCATTCGTTGACGGCTAGAAGCGGGGTCTGGCAGGTCGCCCCCGGGGCGGGCCAGCATATCCCTCCCCATCTGGCCGGTGTGCTACTCCCGTCGGCCGAGTCCCGGCTGCCGCTCGCAGCTGGTCGGGCGGCGCGCTCGTCTGACGCCGCCGCTCTGTCGTCAGGGGTGTGCCGTTCGGCGAAGTGTTTGGCCCGGCGCGGCAGGGCCGGCGTACGCCCGCCTCCATCTACAGCGACGTGCACAGCCGAGCCGCCCACGCGGCCAGGAATCACGGTGAGCGCCGGCACCGCGAGCGAGCGCAACTCGACTCGACTCGACCCGACTCAACTCGACCTAAGTTGACTCGACTCGACTCGACTCAACTTACCTTGACTCGACTCGACTGGACTCGACCTAAATGGACTCGACTCGAATCAACTCGTCTCGACTCGACTCGACTCGGCTGGGCCGAGCTGATCTGGCCTGAGCGGGACAGCTCGGCCCGGGCTCTCATGTCGTGATACGATCTGGCTGTCTGGACTGATTAACGCGACGCCATTGTCTCTCATTTGACATCTTACGAGGCGGTATCCTCCGTCTGGCCACATACGAACAGGTATCCTGAGCTGACCTGATCCACTAGTCTTCACTCGCATGTATTGGGATAGGCAGTAGGCGGGCGGTACGCAGGGTCTTCGGCTCCTCGAGACTCACCCGCTCGCCCCGGAAACTACACTATCAACATAGGTGTGCTCGGGTCCGTCTCGATGCTGCATGCGACGAATCTGAACCCAACAAACATGCCAGATCAGACCTAAAATTTAACGTAGATCCACAGCAGTAAACACGCACGACCCCGCGCCTGCGCTTCCTGGGCACGGAGGCCGAGCCGTTGCATCATGTGGAGAGAGGGTGCATCCAGCCTGGCATCGGCGCCTGCGCGGCGCCCGTGCAGCCGCCGCCGCCGTCGATGACCGCGCGTTCCCTGGCCGCCAGTGGCGACGACCGACCCGTACGCCGAGACGCAGCCGCTGCGCACCGCGCCCATGCACAATAACTACCGGCGCGAGTTCGCGCTGGGCTCGGCCGCCAGCCCGCTGGCTGCCGGCGCCGACGCCGCGGAGCTGCAGCCGCAGCCGGAGCCGCAGCCGGAGCCGCAGCCGGAGCCGGAGCCGGAGCCGACGGCCGCCGCCGACAGGAGGAAGCCGGTCGCCAGGCGAGTGCCGCCGGCGAAGAGGCCGGCCAGGCGGCGGAGAGAGGGCTCTGAGATATGACACCGGCCAACAGGCGGAACGAGAGAGAGAGAGAGGGAGATAGGCAGCGGGATAACAGGACGTGGAGAAAGACGAACAGGTTTTGGTGGGAGACGAGATTTAAAACAGGCTACACCGGCGGTAATTGGATGGTTCTGGAGAGCCACGCATGTGCGAGACGTCGGACTGGTGGTTAAATAAACCATTAGGCGTTATCGAGTAAGCTACCCATACAGCTGTAACGGGACTGCCTACTTATACGCATGAATCGACTGCAAATGACCATCATGTGCGGGCGGAAACGGCCACAGAGCGCACGGGCACTGCCGCCCGGCTTTGTTTCGCATCCAGCACGGTCATTTGGCGGCCGCAGTCCTGACACTGCCGTCCGATTAAGGACACCCGTACGGCCGCCGGCCTCGCCCGTTCGTCATCATTAGCCTCCGTTCTCAGGACGCCCCGGCGCAACGACAGCTTCAAGCGGAGTCTGGCGCTTCACGAGCCGGGGCCCCGGGAGGCGGCGGCCGGCTGGGCGCGAGAGGCGGGCCGCGGCCGGCCGGCGGCGCCCCCGCACCTCGCCCAGCTGCACTTCCAGCCGCGCCTATCAGACGCCGATCAGCGACGGGTGAGGCACCGCTCCAGGGTGGAGGGTTGGGTGCAACGGCGCCGCAGTGGCAAGCTGGAGGAAGCCGTGACGGAAGGATGCGGCGTTCGGCCGCCTGCCGTGCTCACGGACGCCGGCGTCTCAGTCACATGCTGGCTAATGCGACTGAGGACTGTGGCGAAAGGGCGCCTCCCATGTGCAATGTTGGGGACAATCAACCATGCAAGGCAAGGGTTGAGCAGCGATCTGGTCCGTTGGTGTACATCGTATTTGCTTTGAACCCCTCGGCCTGACCAGCATCAGAGATATCGGCGTAAGACCAAACAATCGTCAGTAAAACCAATCATGTTTTACAAATAACCGCAAACCACAGCATTTTGGGCACGCGGGCGCGCATGTGTGCCAGCCATCAGAGGCCGTCCTGTTACCCACCTGGCGCGAGTCCCACCGGCCGGGCCGGCCGTGACCCGCGCTCGCTCTGACCCGCAGGGGTACGCGGCCCACATCAACAGCAGCCCGGCGCGCTTCGTGTACGCGTCTGAGCCGTACCCGGCGTCGGGAGGCTACCGAGCCGGCCACCATTGCGCCGTGCGGCCGACCTGAGCGGCTGCAGCGGCGGTGGTGCCGCCCGGCGGCTGTCGCACGAACCGTCGGTGATAGTCCTGTGCAAGAGGTGGAGCCTCTGCTGTGCGGTGCGAGTGGTTAAGCTTGGACAGCATGCGACGGCTTTGATAGCGCGTCGTTTTCAGATTTTGGGAGATGGTTATTTGACACATACCATGTGTAATGACTGGATTGCTCAAATGTCTCCTATATGCATATTGTTCTAGGTTATCTTTGATAGAAGCATAATTTATTATGTTATTTGTTGATGTTACGAGACTTTATGGACGCAGTTGCCACTGTTTAAACTGATGCACAACTTTAAGGCCTCCTCCACTTCTATTTTTACGGGGCGTCTTCGTCTGACGAAGTATCCCAGCGAGACGTCCTCGTCATCTTTATCACCATACATGAGGATCAATACAACGGAAAGAAATGCCGGGATCTATTAAGGCTGGGATTGCCGAAAAAAACATTACTTTTCAACCAGGCATCTACAGCAACATGAATTATCACTCATCATAGGCAACCACTGGGACCACTTCTGCCGCAGGGACAGATCTTATAACAAAGAACAACTCCAAATCAACGGCAATTATTTGCATCGTAGCGGGGTAACCTCAAGCCACGACAGCAAAAATCGACACACGCTCGCAATATAAATGTCTGCAACACATCAACGATCGCAGGCTGCCAAGACAATAAAACAGGCCGAGTGTTGGCGCAGCCCGGCGGCAACTCCGCCAGACTCCACGCCTGCGCTCCCGCCAGCGCCCGGGTCCGCTCGGCCGGTCCGGTGGGGGGCCGCTCCGCCGGTGCGCCGATGGCAGCCCCCGCGCCGCCACCGCCGAGCATCGGGCCACCGGCCGGCGGGCGGTCCGGAGCGGCGCCGGCCTCAGTCAGCGTACTCCTCGATGTTCAGCTCGTCGTCCGGCTGGTCCGGCTCGGCACAGCCGGCGCTGTGAATGGGCAGGCGGACAGGCCGGTCTCGTCAGCGTCCTGGGAGACGGCCGGCCGGTGGCCGCGCGCGCCACGAACAGGACGTCGTAATGCGCACATCTCGGATCAAACCACACGATTCAAACACAAACAGGGGCCTGGTCAGTGCGCTCTGAATCATCTAAGGGTTGCTTAGTTTTGTAGGAGATAATTCTCCAACTGGAGAGGAGCCGGGGTAGACCAACTGGCGCCGAGTCACTCCTGTTCGTTACGTTGCGTAAAAGAAATAAGCCGGTGGTAACGTCCGCTAGAGGCTTGCAGTAACAGCACGTAACGTCCAAACAGGATGAGCCGGAGGTCATCATTCACAGAGAGCAAACAAAAAAAAGTTGACAGTCCCCGAACGTGACAAAGCTCTGCGACAGAACAGCGTGGCCACACTGTCGGCACAGCTGTCAATATCGCCTACGACGAATAAAAATAAGACGAATATACGAATAAGCCCAAAATTTGCATGATGGTGTAATCAAGAACTGTTCAGAATGCAAGCATAACGAAGCTCGGAAGTACGCCACAAAGAACGGATAACTACCTGTCCATGACCGGAAGATGGAGGCTTCGGTAGAAGCTGATATCATGTTCGGGGAGAGACAGAACTGCAAGAACATCAATCGCATGTCACGGCGAGCGACAAATGTCAGCGACGAGCAAGCCGCAGGGCACGCGGAAAATTATGTAAGCATCATTTATTTCTTGTTCTTCAAGTCACCCCTTCGCCGCAGCAAACTTACTAAAGCGGTCTACGTGCGGGGCGCAGCAACTAACGCACTGATCGCAGTACGTGAACATCTAACAATTTCTGCACGGGACACCAGAGCGAGTGACGGTGCCTGCGCCCCTGGCACCAGATCATCGGTGCCTCTGTACGGGACACCAGAGCGAGTGACGGTGCCTCTGTACGGGACACCAGAGCGAGTGACGGTGCCTGCGCCCCTGGCACCAGATCATCGGTGCCTCTGTACGGGACACCAGAGCGAGTGACGGTACGTGCGCCCCTGGCACCAGATCATCGATACCTGTGCCATAGGACTGGCGAGCGCCAAAACCTGTCGTGCTGGGCGCGGCTCCGTCTACTCACGGCCGGGCCGGCGGCCGGCGGCGCGCAGCTCCAGGAACGGCAGCAGCTCCGTCACCAACGACTCGGTGGTGACCCGCCAGTCGGCCAGCGCCAGGCGCAGACCCTCCAGTCTGACGGACACATCGGCCGGGGGTCAGGACCGGAGCGGGACAGACACAGCGGCCGGGGGTCAGGACAGGAGCGGGGCAGACACAGCGGCTGGGGGTCAGGACCGGAGCGGGACGGACACAGCGGCCGGGGGTCAGGACCGGAGCGGAACAGACACAGCGGCTGGGGGTCAGGACCGCAGCGGGACAGACACAGCGGCCGGGGGTCAGGACCGGAGCGGGGCAGACACAGCGGCTGGGGGTCAGGACCGCAGCGGGACGGACATAGCGGCCAGGGGTCAGGGCCGGGGCCGGACAGACACAGCGGCCGGGGCCAGGGCTGGAGCGAGGCACACTAGCCGGGGGTCAGGGCTGGAGCAGGACAGACACAGCGGCCGGGGGCCAGGGCTGGAGCAGGACAGCCACAGCGGCCGGGGGCCAGGGCTGGAGCGAGGCACACTAGCCGGTGGTCAGGGCTGGAGCCGGACAGACACGGCGACCGGGGGGCCAGGGCCGGAGCAGGACAGACACAGCGACCGGAAATCAGGGCAGGAGGGGGACAGACACAGCGGCCGGGGATCGGGGCCGGAGCAGGACAGACACAGCGACCGGAAATCAGGGCCGGAGGGGGACAGACACGGAGGGCGCGGGCGGGCTGTGCCAAGCACGCAGACGACCCGGCTCCTGTTGGAGCATGGGCCCTGAGAGCCGCACTTGAATAACGTGCTATGCGAAAATGATCGGCATCACTGGCCATGCATCTTGAAATGTCGTCATAACGGCTGACCATACTGGCTGAGATAACAAACGATGAAATGGACGGCAGACGAACAGAGGCACCGAACATGCTGGTCCGAGACGGGCCAGCACGCTCGCTCGACGCCAGGGACACCGTCGGTGAGATGCCGGGGTGAGATGCCGGGGACCTGCAGCGTGGCGTACCTCCGCAGGCGGCGCTGCTCCACCCGCGTCAGCTGGGGCTGCGAGAACTGGCGGAAGCCGAGGCTGACCGAGCTTTGACGGGCGAACATGACGCCCCGGGCCGCCACCGAGCTGCCGTACGCCAGCATCGCCGCGCGCGACTGACGACAGGCAGGCGGCGTCACTCGCGGTCAGACGGCCAATCGGCACAGGTGAAGCGGATCCAGTGGGGCGCGCTTCGTCGGCTTCTGATCTCACTTTGTCCGACACGTCTGCATGAGCGCCTGCGCAGCATCACAAGGACAGGTATTGCACCGTGTCCTCTCCCAATCTAACACACAGATGGCGCTAGTTGACTTCCGTTCCGTCAGCGCTATTGGCGCAGATGGCGCCAGTGACGCACGGTCTGACCGACATCACTTTAGCCTCGTCCCTTGACACGCTCGGCATTTCGCTCAATGTCCGGTGACGACGTCCTCAGCCGATCACCTTCGGTGAACATGAAACGCAACCATCCCATGACCCCACTCTGACCAATAGCCGTCGGCGGTGGTCGCCGCTGGCGGGCGAGACCGGGCGCAGTGCGGACCGGGCCTCGCGCAGACGGCGCCCGCGGGGCCACACCTGCCAGTCGGCCGCCATCAGGTCGGCGTGGCTGATGTAGGTGGCGCTGGTGACGGCGTCCTCCAGCTGGCCGCAGAAGTCCGGGTAGTTGTGGTGCAGGTGGGCGACCAGCGTGTCGGGCTGGACGCCGGCGCGCTCGCACACCTCCTCTGGCTGCCGCTCCAGCAGCGGGGCACGCCGCTGGTCCGCCAGGCTCGGCGGCAGCGCCGGCTCCTCCCCGTCACCGCCTGAGCAGCGACGGACGGTCGACGGTCACTTAAGGACAAGAGACGGCGCCACGGTCGGATAAGGAAGGGCAACAGACTGCGCCGTAAACACACAAAGACGGACAACAGAGGCGCCGCGGTCACACAAGGACGGACAACAGACAGCGCCACAGTCACACAAGGACGGACAACAAACGCCGCCACGGCCGGACACGGCTGGGGCGCGGCGCCTGGGTCCGGCCGGCACCTGGCCGGACCGGCCGACGCCCAGCACGAGCGCGCCGCCACAGCGCACCGTCACTGTCTGGTCGCTGGTCGCTTGGTTCATGTCTTGGTAATAAAACAAGTGATGAATGGCGGATGGGATGGCGGATGATTTTTGCTAGAAAACTGAGCATGGTTGCAGAGTGCATAGTGACCTACACCCACGAAACAGAACACCTTCAACACTGAAAACATTGTCTGGTGTTTAAATGAGTGAATGCATACACGTGTACAAGGCGGGTGCCTACAAACACGATGTTCCTCGCTGTCTTTATCCCTATCATTGGGGCATTACGACGCACCCAGCTGCTGAGGCTACACGGTATCGCGTGCTCCTCACCCTGATAGGCGGAGCGCGCGTCTAGGGAACTGAAGCCCGTGCCTCTGATTTCCCAGAAGCGCAGCCCAACTACTACATGAACGGCACCCCTCACTCTCTCATGAGCACGTGTATTGTGTATCAGCGGATGTGTCTGCGGCACGAACGTTTGGCGTAGATGATCTTGCCCACGGCTCTGAACAGTCCGAGCGAAGCGTCCCTGCCGCCCACAGCAGGCTCCTCCGTCCGGAGCCTCTTCTGTGCCTGCCAGGCCGGCTCCGCGGCTCGCCGCCGCTGACCGCCTGCAGCAGCCACACAGCGCAGGTCAGGGCCTGGCAGCGTACTCGTCTCAGGATCCAATCCAGGAGAACCAATTTCAGGAGAGCCTCAGCCCGCGTCACGGCCGAGGCTCAGCAAAGCGAGGAAGTCAGCCCTTCATTGTCAGATTACTGGCAAGTCGGCCCTGAATTCCGGGTCATGGCAGCGTCCGCGCCCCGATAATGCGCTGCCCGCGGCTGGGGCATACCCGTCTCCTACCGACACGGTACCGCACGAACATCACAGACACGAGCGTCTGACAGCGCCCATCCGACCCCACCTCCTGCCGCCCTGGCACCACCACCACCGACCCTGGACGCAGACGAACTGCAGGGCGTTGACGGCGGCGCGGACGTCCCCGGAGGCGGCGGCAGCCAGCTGGTCCAGCACGGGCCGGCCCGGGTGGCGTACGCCCGCTGCAACGCGGCCGTCCCCGCTGGAGTCAGACCCACGCGGCCGACGCGGTCACAGCGAAGACGGCTCGACCACAGAAGCAGGCAGCCTTGGTCCGAAGTTAGCAATATTCCAAAATCAGAGGCTAAAGTGATCAACGATGGATGCTGATTGTATGCAGCAGGCAACTGTTTCTAGAAGGCGCGTCGTGTTTTGATATCCGGTGTAAAAAACGCAGAGGACCGCAAGGCTCGGACGGTATCCAGGGTTGATAGCAGCCCGCTGAAATAGTATTTGTCGGCCAGTTTTTGGCGATTAAAAGCCGGTTGCTACGGCTATGTCACCCATGCTGGTGGGCAATGTCCATTTTGATAGGCATCCACGCGCTACGCAGCGCGGACCAGTGTCGGCTGTACCCGGGCGGATAGAGACGCCACTGTACCTGCCCCAGACGCCTCCACAGCCAGAATCCTCTCCATCGCCGTCACCAGCTGCTTCTGGGTCAGCGGACGGAACCTGGAGCATAGCAGGCCCGCCATGATCCAAGACGACTTAGCTCGGTAGCGCAGCACAGTCGTCACGAACCCGAACGCCGGACATGGGCGGTCGTTGCGCGACAGAGGCCTCCTCTCCACCCGCAGACGGGCATTCAACCGTCGGGGCGGCCATCAACATCCGCATGCCACCAGGGACACCGCCACACTGGCCACCGCTGGCAGAGAGATGCTCCTGATAATCGCGGTTGCGTACGCGCGCAAGCCATGCCACTGTCGCTGCAGCCAACACAAGCAGGCCGACCGGCGAGGGCGGCGGCGGCTCACGTGATGTGTTGCACGCCCAGCTCGGCCTGCACGCTGTCGGGGAACACGCTCAGCTGGCCGAGGTCGGAGCGAGCGGCGCCGTCGCTCATGACGAACACGCATGGACTGCGCGCGCCGCGGCTGTACCGCCTGTAACCGGGCGGCGGTCGGGACGTCAGGCGGGGCGGCCAGGGCTGTATCGGGGGGAGAGCCGTCTGCACAGGTCCCGTGCCGCTGGCGCGCCCACTCGGCTGGTGACGCCGTCAGTGGTGGGACCGCGGAGGACAAGGTCAGCTGGGTGTCACTGTCACCTCACGCTGCGGCCTGGTACTGGACAGTCAGCGACAGGGTTGAACAATGTGGTGAGGCATCGGTCGCGGACTAGCAATGGTAGGGTTGAGGTACGTTTGCAAATACATCGGTAGAACCACCAACGGCTGCAGTGAGGAAATGGGAAATGTTGCTATATATTTACGAGCATATTAGCTGAAGGCCATTGTTCCCTCAGTTCCCCAGCAACAGGATGCAACGGGCTTCACAATATTACACTGATAGCCGCACTACATGACTGTCTTCGACATATCCTTCCGCCAATCGACCTCACCCACCTGAGAACATCATAGAACTCCTCCTTCCTGTAGGCGATCACATTGGGCAGGTCGTCGACGAGCACCAGTCTCGCCCTGCCGCCGCCAGCTGGCAGCACTGAGCCGTAACGGTTGGCCCGCACCATGAAGTCAGTGAACTGGCGCAGCTTGACCGTCAGGTGTCACCGAGTCATCTGCACCCTGCCACGCGCCTGTCGGCAGACGCCGCCCTCAGACTAGAGGCGGGAAGTCGGCGCGCGCCCCGCCACTGCGCATCTGTTGAACACGCTCACTTTCCGCGTCTGGTGTAAAGACGGCCGCGGCAGACGGCGAACAAACTGGCCGATGGAAAGCCCTCCTGATAGCCGACGCGTCACGGCCGCTGAAGTGACTTGAAACGTCGCTACCATCGTCGACGTTGTTAACCACATTCCGCCGGTTGCGTGGCCTGGCGGCGACCCTAGCTGGTTGGCTGGGTGCGGCACGACACGGCCGCCTCTGGTAACCCACCGCCGTCGGAGAGCTGCGCGTCCGCGCTGGTAGCGGGCTGCGCCGGGGCTGAGCCACTCCACCAGCGCCATGTCCAGCCGGTCGGCCACGCAGCGGATGCAGGCCGACTTGCCGCAGCCGGCCGGCCCCGTCACCAGCAGGAACGGGCTCTGCGGCGCGGCCGGGTGACGCTGCTGATGACGGGGAACGGACGGCGGTGGGGGCGGGGAGGCGGGGGGGGGGGGGGGGGGGGGGGCGGGGCAGGACGACGCTGACGTGGGCAGGCAGCAAATCTGATGCGGGACACATGGAGGCATGGTCAGAGATGCTGCTGACATGGTGGACAACAGCGCCTGCACAGGGACACACCACTGCTGACACATGCAGGCGCCGCTATCGACATGGAGTTGATGGCCGGGTACGCGCGGGGCAAGCGGTTGCAACACACCGCCTGCTGCCTAATGCTGCTCAGGCTCGCCTGCTGTGTCGGCCCGTCAGTGCCGCCAGAGTCGGCGCTCACCGCGGCGGGTTCGGCGGCCTCCAGGCGACGCTGCGTGTCCGCCAGCCGCCGCTCCAGCTCCTCCACCTTGGCGCGGTGTACGGCCAGCTGCTGACAGTGGCGCGGCTGGTGACGCTCGGCCCAGAGGCCGGCGTCAGGCCGGCCGGCGGCGGCGTCCGCGGAAGCTCGGGCGACGGCACGCTCCCGAGCTGGCCGGGCCCGTCGCCGGGGCGCTGCCACTGCCGCCGCCGAAGCCGGCCCGTCCGAAAACGTAGAGCACACCCACATACTTGGCAGCGGAGCAGGTCACTAGTCCACCTGAGGGGACTGTGGGAGTGGGGCTGTCAGTGAAAGGCAGTGCCAACAAGACCAGCAGTAGTAAAGTTCATGTCACCCTCAGGGATACACAGTGCAAATAGCTGACAGCACTTCCAAAAGTACCAATAGCATCACCTCTATCTTGCTCACATGAAGGATATTAAAAATATGAGCTACTTGTGATTACCTACTGGCCTTTCTACTCCCACCATCTGTGGGACAGTCAGCAGTTCAACCATCACCATTTTTGAAAAACTTTGCCTGATGGTTTTATCAAGAACATCAAAGGGATAACAATCAGTGCAGACCCACATTAATCAGAAACCAGAACAAAATTATTACCCTCAGAAGGACTGAGCCAACCACTTAGTATCAAATGTGTACTGGCAATCTCACAAAAGAAATGTTTTTTATATGGTATTTGCTGCCCAAGAAATTGCTTCTAACATTAACAAAAAGTAATTCATAGACCACCAAACACATGGTCAAATTATTGTCAAAACTAAAGGCATGCCATGCATCAAATGATATAGCAACTAAAATCACAGTCATCAATTAATTCCCAAAAATTAATTCCTAAAAAGTATTAAATAGATGAATCTTATCAGCAATCAGGGATTGTTTTATTTGATGAGCCAACCTGCTCCTGAATAACCTTTTTCTGCAGCTGGTTGTCAAAAGCTGTTCATGAACATTTCAAGACTGCATTTTGCATTACTCATGTGGGTTTTATGACAATTCATTTTTGTTATGGCTACATTATTTCATGTAGCCACTTTTGAACTGAATGACTACCAGTGCCCAGTAAAGCCCCACAGAGGGCTTAACAGGTGTGCTGCATGCACCATTATAAAATAGGCACCTGCCTGGGCTAGGCACAGATTTGGTGAAAACCATGAGCATGTGCACCAGTAAGGGTATGAAATTTATTAAATATTGGGCAGATGCTTCATGAGCAAAATATCATGCAATATCTAATATTGTATTTTATCCAGTTATACTTAGTTCCATTCAAAACACTTTGAAACCACAACCATCAATGACCATTGTGAGATAGCTGGCGGACATGGGTACATCCCCATGTGTTGCGGGTTGCCTGGGTCTGGATGGGGGAAATCTGACTCATGGCAGCCTTTAAGGTCTTACATATATGGTGAGTTTAACATATTTCCCTTGCATTCTGTTCATCTGCATCAAAAGCAGCATGACTGGTGGCACATGGTTGGCTGCAATAGGAAATGTCTTATAAATACTGCACTGTACTGATGTGCATTCACCAGCATCAAAATGCATCATGTAGGGTATACCTTCAATAACTAGTCAAGACTTGTTCAGTTGTCACTGATTTACTGAGTTTGTCATTGGCAGCAATGCCAAAATAAAATGAACAAATTACAATCAAACATGTCAATGCTAAATATACCAAATTCAAATATAGCATTAGAGAAAGTTATGGCAAAAGCATTGCTAGGTGTCTGGTAGCAGCCATCCATGTATACAATGCTCTATTATCCAATATCAAGCCCAAAAGATGAACTCACTGCTTTCCTCCTCAGAGGTGTGACAGTGTCACTGAATCATGAGACCCACTGAGCATGCTGTTGACACATTCATGACCACTAACACCCATACTAATAATGAATCATGAATGCAACCAACCAAATAAATAACCAGCTTAAGTGGTGGTCATTAATGGAGCCGTGTGTTGTTGAATAACGAATGTTATGGACAAGGCGTCATGACCACTGCACCATGTCTCAAGACCCTTCACCCCACCCGGTCATACTCCAAACCATCCAACAACATCCCATGTTCGTTTACAGCTTCGCCCTGGCTATGTGGAAGAAAACTGGCCTTGGCTCTGTTTTACTTTTCAATCACCGACACTAAATTTGTATACACATGAAATACTAAGACCCGTTTATAGGTGTCCTACACATGAAACCGTTCGAACCATACGCGCCAGAGCTTCCTGTGACTTTTGCTGCCACATTTGCCTGTTGTGCGCCTATTTAACTGAGGCTGCGCTCGACCCTATGGTCAGCATGGTAGCACCAATCACGGACTAGTATCTGCCCTACGTCATGTCAAGTGACAACAAAGCCTGTTGTCTGTGACGTCATGCGCGGGCTGTCGATGGTGTTAGGGCCCCGTTTGATCTATCGTCAGCACGATTGTCAGCCGGAATGCGTGACGTCACGCGCGCTGCCGGAAAGTTCTATGTGGGTTAAGTTCGGTGTGTGAGTTGACGGGAAAGTTTTTCACTTGCCTTCTGCCTATTAACTTCCCCTCTTCCTTTACCTTTTACTTTAGACCACACATCAACGTCGCGTTCCGTTCGGTCTGTCGTTAGCACGTTTGTCAGCACCAATTACTTCCCAGCATTCGCCCTACGTCACGTAATGTGACTACACGGTCACGTAGCCTGTTATGTCACGCGCCGGCTGACGATGGAGCCAGGATTTTTTGTCAACCCGTGAGCTTGGAGAGCAAGCGCTACAAGACTACAAAATCACTCTGACAAAGAAACGGGAGTTTGACTTGTTGGCGCTCTCGGAGCTCTCGGGCTGGCGAATACGCGAGAGGGGGGTGGGGGCACTTGCCTCTAATTTTGGGGTAAATGCGACGTAAGATAGATGAGGACGGAACTGAAATGCCAAGAGTACTCATGAAAAGGTGAGTGATAGTGACTGGTGTGGTGTGTGGTTGCATTGCCCAGTAAATTAATGGCGTCATAAGTAAGCAGTTAGAATGAGAGGGACGAAACTAAAATGAATTGGAAATGGGAAGAAGTACTCAACACACGGATGGGATACATGGTGGTAACACCGGAACAGAAGCCACACTTCCAAACACCGCTTTGTACGCATTATGCCATGGTTGGAGGCAAGCCAGAGTAATTGTGTGGTATGAAGAAAAAGAAAAAGGAAGAAAGGGAAGTTAAGTTAAAAAAACTTTCCCGTCAGCCCACACATCGAACGCACCGTCGAACGGGGCCCAACTCCGGTTTATCGCAGATTCACTTATGTGGTCTTGGAATGTGCAGACACTTATGTGGAATGTGGTCTTGGAATGCCCATATCGACAGGAGAGAATGCTGGGCCGTGATTGGTGTTGACAAACTTGCTGATGACAGATCGAACGCAGCCTACGATTTTTTGTCTGCCTGTGACCATGGAAAGAAAGCGCTACAAGATTTGAAAAATCACTGACAAAGAAGCGGGAGTTCGATTTAGAGGCTCTTCTGTCAGGTGGGGTGGGTTCGCCCATCTCTAATTTTGGGTGATGCAGCGAAGAATCGATAACAGGGGAATTGGACTGCCAAGAGTGCCCACGAAAAGGTGAGTAACAGCGATTGGTGTGGTGTGTTGTCAGGATTCACCAGTAAATTAATAGCGACGGGGTAATTGTCAAAGATGGAGAACAGGAACGAACCACCATGGGTCTCGAACATAGGCCTTGTTAGTTTAAGTTGGAGTTCAATGAAAGGATAGGCTTCATGCCAGCACAAGTAGCAGTGAAGGATCTTTAGGCCGTTTCCACACACAAAGAGGGTGAACACTTGAATGAGAAGGGAAGAAATTGAAATGAGTTAGGAATCAGAAGAGGCGCTCAACTTACGGATGGTATGGATGGGATGGATGGTGGTAATTTCGGAGCAGGACACACACTTCCAGATACCTCTTTATAGGAAATGCATCATGGTCGACGGTTAGCTAGAGAGTGTGGGGTCTGAAGTTGTTGGCGCTTGTTACTGTCTGAAGTAGTTAAAGGTAAAGGGAAAAAGGAAGGCAAAGTTAAAAAAAAGAACTCCCGTTGGCCCACATATCGAACGCTCCGTGGCAGTAGAGTAAGCAGGGGGCACAGGTGGCACGTGTCCCCCCTTCCTCTTTGGGCTCCGTGGGGCCCTTCGGGCCCCTCCGAACCCGCAATTAAGGGCTCGATTTGAGGGTCTTAAAGGCTAACTGGAGGTCCCATTCAGGGGCCCAGGCCCCGAGGGCCGGGCACTCTAATACCAGCCGGGGGCCTTGCGCGCTGATCAGAGGCCCACTGAGTCGATCTGAGTTGTCCACTGAGTTGTCAAGGGGCCCCGAGCTGGTCAGAGGCAGTGTTCGTGGAGGCGCGAAGAGCCTAGCGGGCCCACCGGATCCAACGATCAAGGGTGTGATTGGAGGATGTAAGAGCATAAAGAGCTGGCCGGAGTCTTATTCAGATGCCCCGGCCTGCGAAGACGGACTCTCAAATAACGGTCAGAGGGCCCTTTGCGCCTATAGGGAAACCCCTGGGTTGATATGGGCCTACACACTGGTCAGGTAACACCGTACCTCACAGTTTGCTTCGTGTCAATATGGGCCTGAAGACTCACTTCCCAATCAGCTGTAAAGCTGGGGCCAGTGATTTACACTGGTCGGGGCGTTTTATCTGTCAGGGGCCCACAGCGCCAAACAGAGGGCCCTGTGCTCCCAAGGGCCCCAAGCCGACCAAGGGAAGTTTTCGATGAGGCCCGAAGAGGCGCCCGGGCGGCCCACCGGAACTGACGATCAAAGTCTCGTTTTGAGGGCATAAGTGCCCGAAGGACTGGTTGTAGGTCATGTAAAGAATCGCAGTCCGTAAGGTTGCGTCCTGAAATATCAGTCGGAGGCCCTCTTGCGCTGTTTGAGGAGCCCCGGGACAATGCAGCTGTCTAAGTCGGTCAGAGACCACGAATACCGAACAGCTGGCTCCATATCAGACTGAGCC